CATAACATCTGATCTTAATTGATCTTCAATAAAGTAAGAGACACATCATAGCAAACTTGTCTAATGGTGGTGAACCAAAATTAAAATAAGAGACTAATATATTGTAGAGGATGCCAACTACTAGGATAAATCCAATAGCCAAAATTAGGAATAGAATCCAAAAAAAAAGCGCCTGACGATAAGAAAAAAGGTTGGAGTAATTACCATGAAATCATATGCAAAATAGCAAGTGATAGTTATATTATCATTTAAAACATGCATATACACTAGGTTACTGTAAAAAATCAACAGTTTTTATGTAAAGCAATCAATTGGGCACTCGTGTTAACAATATTAAGGCTGCTCAGGTAACCGCTCAGGATCAACATTACTGTTGAGCTTTCATTAGGCATGAATGAGCCTTCATCAAGTGATTGTACTCATCACAGCAGCCATGCGAACAATCAGAACATACTGTAAGTAATTTATACAATCCACAATAGAACAGACTGAGAGCAAACCTCTATATCAAGTTCTTCAAAAAGATTAGACAATTGTGCTCGAATTTCTGAGAGTGGATTTACTTCTGCATCCTCATTCTTGGCAGTACTGTCATAGTCATCGTCCTGTTCAGATGATCTACTTTGCACAGCTTCAATGGCATTTATCTGATCAACAGATTTAGAATCTTCGGTAGTGACAAAGTCATCAGATTCAGCCTTCACATATCGACTGGTATAGCTAGATGCTTCTTCTGATTTAAACAATCTGACAGACGATTTGGTGTATTGTAGGCCTCCTGTAATGAAAACAAGAATAATTACCCCAAAATCAAACAGCATTTCCGTTTTACTTCCAGGATGAAATTATCTGATAATGAATGATTAATGCGTCATACAAAGAAACAATCTACAGAAAACTATATGAATTTGTTGAAGTAAAGCAGTGAAAAGCAAGAACAATGGCGAAATCAAAACCGGTAAAAAATAAATATGCTAAAATGAACGCCGGAGAACGAAAATAACCTGGATTGAATCCTAAATTCGAAGCCCTCTGAATCCATGGAAGGCGTGTGTGATATGGAGTGAAAATCCGGCCATGCAAAGGAAGATTGGAGAGAGCTCGAGATGTGCAAATCTCCATATCAGAGGTATGATAATGGCGAATGCCGATATCGCACTGGTTCTGAGCGGAGAGCGAAGAGAGTGAGTATGGCGGAGTATTTAGCGGCGGAGAATTGTGGAGAATTTGAAGAGCTGCGAATTAGGGTTTTGGTCTATGGGAGAAGACGGAAAGCTTTTACTGTAATCAGTTCGGATTAATGGGCCAACATTCTTCAAGGCTGAACCTTACGTTTTTTGTTTTGCAATATCGAGGCCCAATAATTAGTGGGCTTTGAAAGAAGACAAGCCAAAAAAATTGGAAAGACGATATCATCTTGAACGAGTAAATTTAATAAATGGGCTTTCATAACTGAAAAATTTTCATAAATAATTCTCAATTATAAAATATTACATTCATTTATATTTATAATTCATTTCATAATGGATCATTTGACCCAATTATTACTTTCACATATAGTCCGCAAAAGATTGAACATACAATAGCTATCAAATATCGAAAAATATAAAAGATCATTTATAAAATTTACTACAATAGTCATACTTTGTGATAATAATAATAATAATCCGTAATAAAATTATAAAAAAAATTGGTCTTTCTCTTTGAGTTACGATGTTTGATTAAATATTTTCAATAAATTTTTTAAAATATTGATTAATGTAAAAAACTCAATAAATTTTACTCTTTATATAACTAAAAAATACATCAAGAAGTTGATTTTGAAATATGGGATTTGACTATTTTATAAAATACTTTTCACGTCCTAAGTTAGACTATAATTTTAGGATTACGAGCTATATCCTCAAATTTTTTAAATCATTTTATTTAAAAAAAAGTATAAAAATAAAATTTATATATTAAAAAGCTAAGTCAACTTTGAGATGAAAGGAGTACATCAACCCTTGTTTGAAAGAGAGAAAATAAGAGTGGAAAACAATGAGGCATGTACATGTATTATCTTTGGAAGAGGGTGTAAAATAAAAAAGGATATAAAATATGAAAGTATTTTCCTTCCTATTTTTTCTTTTCAAAAAGATGAGTGGTAACTACTAAAATATAATTAAGAGGTAAAATAAGATTTACTCCGTATTTTCTTTCCTCTCTATTAATTCCAAACACGAGGAAAAATAATTTTTATTTTTTTCGTCTCTATTTCCCATCTTTATTCTCTTTCTCATCTAAAAGTTTTCCAAAAAGAGATTAAAGTTTACCACCAAAATATAGTATCTCAAGGTTAACCCTTTGTTATCCCAAGATTTCAATGTACGGAGTATCTTAATTTTAAAAGATTGACAATGAGATATAATATTTGCATAAGGCCACTATCTCAAAGTCAAACTGCACCCATCTTCTAAAACTACAGAGTAAAAGAACCCTCTTTCTTCGTTCTTTCAGCTCTCTGCTTTCTGTTATATTATTGGAACTAGCTTGGACTCAGATGGTACTTTATGGACATCGTCCTGATTACTTATATCTCCGTGTCTTCGATCGGCTGTCTTGCATATTCTCATCTTCGTCATGAGGTTGATCATAAACTCCATCCACGTTCAAACCCTTGTGTCTTTGTTGGCTACGAGCCTCATACCAAGGACTATCGTTGCCTTGACCCTGACACTCATCGCGCCTATGTTACTCATCACGTTTGTTTCCAGGAGTCATAGTTTCCATATGGAGCATTACCCGTGTCCTCTCACACACCTACAACTTGTCATGCGTCTACTAATTTCTTTGGTGTCTTACCCCTCTTTCTGGGGTTCTCTCGTGTGTCCCTAAGTCCTGCTCACGATCCTCTGCATCCTCAACCTACTCATATCCTACCGAAACTCCCACCAACCTTCACCTTATACCTACCTCACCTACCGCTACCAACCCCACTCCCACTTAGCTTGTGCCAACGACCCACATGGACAGCCCCTCCCTTATCCCTGATCACCCCTCATCTGAATCCCATAACCCCACCTGTATCATCTACGGCCAACCCACCCCCATTGCCTATTCCCTCACATCTGATGACCACTCGTTCTAACAGTGGCATTTTAAAACCCAATATATATTCTTCCACCATTCCCTATGATGAACCCTCACAAACAGAACCCACCTCCTACAAACAAGCCTTCCAAAACAGATATTGCTGTTAGGCTATGGGTGATGAATTTGAGGCGTTACAGAGATAGGGTACTTGGGTATTGGTTCTATATCTTCCAGACAGTTTCCCTATTGGATGCAAGTGGGTTTGTCCCATAAAACGCAACTCTGATGGCTCTATTTCTCGCTACAAAGCACATCTTTGTGGCTAAGTGTTATGATCAAGAATATAGCCTGGACTACTCCGAGACTTTTAGTCTTGTGGTTGAACAATAAACCGTTCGTGTTGTCCTCTCTATTGCTATGCACTATCTTTGGCCTCTTCATCAGCTTGAAGTTTCTAATGCTTTTTTGCATGGTGAGTTGCAAGATGAGATATACATGACTCAGCCTCCGGGGTATATAGATCAGCGTTATCCTCATCATGTTTGCAAATTAGTAAAAGAATTATATGGCCTTAAGCAAGCTCCTCGGGCATGGTATCTATGGCTCACTTTTTTTTGACGACCTAACGATTTATCACTACCACTCATGACATTAGCCTATTTATCAAGCACTCTTCGCATGGATCTCTGATCTTGTTGTTATATTTTGATGATATTGTCATTAATGGCTCCTCTTCATCTCTTATTCAGGGTTTTATCCGAAGTATGCAACATGAATTAGAAATGAAGGATCTTGGACCTCTTCAGTACTTTCTTGGCCTTGAAGTGCAACACATCGGTGATCGTCTCCTTCTCTATCTAACTAAGTGTGCTGGTGAGCTTCTTCATCGTGCGGGTGTTGACACTGCAAAACCAGTGCCCACGCCGATCAATCCTAGTTCCTCCGCAGATGGCGTGAATGTTCCTTTCCATCATCCTCGCTCTTTCGCAGTTTAGTTGGGGGTCTTCAGTATCTCACTGTTACCAGGCCAGATATTTAATTTGCTGTCAACTTTGTTGCCCAAAAGCTGCACATCCCCATAGAGAAGGATTTTCATACGTCAAAACGGATTCTGCGCTATGTCAAGGGTACCATCTCACAGGGTCTTGTGTTCGGCAAGGGGGGTATGCGTCTACGTGGCTACTCTTACTCTGATTGGGCTAATGATCCTCAGAATAGTCGCTCTACCACTGTGTATCTTATTTATCTTGGCAATAATCTTGTATCCTGGAGTACGGAGAAGCAAACAAGGGTATCAAAGTCCTCTACTGAATCCGAATATAGAGCACTCTCTTTCGCAACATCGGAGGTAATGTGGCTCACTTACATTCTGACCGATTTGCATATAGCCACTCCACCATCGGTCCTTTATTGTGACTATCAGTCTGCCATTTGCCTCTCAAAGAACCCTGTTTTTCATAAAAAGATGAAACACGTTGGAACACACTGTCACTTTGTTCGTGAACAAGTCTTCGATGGGTCCATGATTGCTGAGCATATATCCTCCGAGTTTCAATTGGCTGATTTTCTCTCAAAGCCGTTAATGTCACAGTGTTTTCACTTTTTTATATCCAAGCTTCCTCTTGCTACTGCAAGGGGGATGTTAGATAAGATATATAATTATGTTACATTATTGGACTCTTGTGTAATTATCTAGCCTACTATCTCTATATATATATTACATCAGATCATACATATCACTTGACTAATTGCATTGTTCCGTTATTTCATCAGAAATGATTTTGAAAAAATCCTTTCCTTTTATTATAATAAAAGAGACTCCGATGCACGAGAATGCGACATATGGCACGCTTATTTGGTAAAAAATTGGACAAGTGATCAGGCCACGTAATAAGAGTAAATTTAAGAGGCAAATTTGCTAATGCCTGCGCACCAGGGGAAACTTCTTTGTCCTGGATCTATCACAACTTTGCTTTCTTCGTTCCAGGAAAATCGGCGAAGAAGGAACCCCAGGAAAATCTCGGATCTATCGCGCCCAAACAGAAGCTTCCTTCTTCGTCCAGGATCTATCGCGTGCAAAACAGGTATCTTTCTTCCATCTTCACTGAGGAAACACTCAAAATTAGGTATGTTTCGAAAATTTTATGTATAATCGAACTAAATCCGGGATTGATATTACGTTTCTTTCCAAAACAGTATTTTAATTTTTCATTTTTGAAAAAAAAACTCAAATCATACGCTGATTCTTCGCGTCAATTATGAAATCTACATCCGCTTATTCATCAGCTTCAATTCGAGATCCAGGTTTGTTTCCAAAATTCATATGCAATTCTTATTCAATTCATAACTTCGTTTATTCAGATTCTGGCCTCTCGAATTCCATATACCCTTCCGAATCTGGGTTCCCGATTTCACCAAATGTTTTTGCTAAAATCATCTATTATGAATCCTGGCTTGATTAGAACTGTATTACGTGTAATTACATTAGGGAAATTGACAATTACTTCAATGGTTTCAAGCAGCTGAAAGGCATGTTTCTGCTTTGGAAACACATGCCACGCCATCTGATGATTGGCTACTTGATGGGGAACCTATGACTAACGATCTGCAGGAATAAAATACAATAGTGATTATCCTCCAACTGCAGAAGCTTATCAAAAACTGCTGCAGGAGAATGTTTTACCTCTCATATATCTCTTCTTCACATGAATTCCCAGACGAAGAAAGCCACTCAACATCTAAAAAATTTGAAAAGTTGGAATCTGTGCGTTCAAGTGACTGCTCATCTTGGGTTTCCATGAAAAGCACCTTGCCAGACATAGTGGGGGTATACCTGTATATGAAGCAAAGTGATACTATTTTAATGAATTGCTCAAAGGTAAATGAAGACATCCATATAGCTCATTTTAACTCTCAATGCCAATAATCCAATGGAGAACTTGACTCGGGATTTGGCATTCATTTAATTCACATATTATGCTAGCCATTGTTTCCACGTAAAGTCGAACCCTAAAAGTCGAACCCACGGGTTAAATACTAGGATTCAATTAGAAGTTAATTGAATCTCAAAGTTCATGTGACTAATGGTTTCAAGCAGTGACCTGCAATTCTCTTTTAAAGTATGTTTTCTTAGTTCTTTAAACTTTATATTTGCATTGTTGGCAATAAATACGTACTTTAAAAAACAAGTACTTATAGTTGATTTTTTGGTTAAGAATTAGATCATCAATGTTAAGTAAAATCCCTATTGGTCTTGGCTTAATCTGATTCTGAAATGTGAACCACATTATAAATGTTGCTTTACATAAAATAATGATATCATGACATCTTTAATATTTTGTCAAGTTTGCAGGAGAGAAAATTAGAGTTGGAAGTGGTAGAACGTAGAAGAATAGACATCACACATTATGACAGATCACTTAGAAGTTTGGCAGGTAGGTTATATTCTTGCTTAGATTTGTGATAGTATATGATTAGTATGTCTTGATTGGCTGAGTCCTATTTAGTTGGATATCAGTATGTACTCTACTCAATAAATAGGATAAGGGATGCTTATAATCTGATAATCAAAGAACTGGGTATACGTATAATGTCATAACTTAGTTGAGCATTGACGTGATCCTATACCAATGGATATTTTAGTATACACTATACAAATATATAAGAGGTGTAGTGAAAAATGTCAAAACGCACCTAATTGAGAATATGTTGTACTTTGTATATAGGGTAATCTGCTAATTCTTCGCAAAGATTATTCCCCAAAGTTACGCAGATTTTTCCCGATTATTCTTCGCCAAAGGAAGGAGTTCTACACCCACTCATTATTCCTTGCCGAGAATCCTTAATTCCGAATGAAAACATAGTGAATGGAAACATGAAATTTACGCCGGCTATCTTCTCTTCTTCGCCGAAAATTCAGATCTGATTCCCTTCTCCTTCTCCTTCTCCTTTGTTTATCCATGGATATCAAGGTCAAATTTCTCCTTATTTTGCCATTTTAAAGATATCATATCTCTCCTGTGGCTTCTTCATCTCTATTTTCTTTTCACTACTGTTTGATTTTAGGGTTAGATTTTTAATTGTTTATATGAATTGTTATTTATTCCGTCCTTCATAAATTTCAGGCAAAAAGTTGTAATTCCACGTTCTGCATCAACAGCGGTCAGACCAAGAAAGCTGTCATCGGATCAATAATGAAGTGGAATTACTTGGTAAGCTATTATTATCAAAATTCTTATTATTAAATAGAGAAGAGAAATTGTATTATTGGTCAGATTGTATTCTTTTCTGATTTTTAATCCTATGCCATATTAGCAGAATTCTATTTATACATACAAATTTCTCTAATTTTCCTTCAAATGTCGGATCTAGAGATTGTTTGGTAGTTGTTATCCCAAGTCCCAACATTCATGCACCATCTTAAAAACACTACGCTTAGAGTAATGATTTAACTCATTTTAAACTTTTTTATACTGATCAGTACTTCTTTTTCCTCTCCCCATGGCCTTCCATGCTTGATAAAAAGTACTCCCGCAAGGGGGTGTTGGAAGATAATGGTTTGCTTGGGATTTGAAAGTATTAGTTTTAGATGACAACGGTAACCCTTGTAATTGTACCAAAATTGTGGTTTACCCTAAAGTTTTCCAAAAAAATTTGGATTTAATTGATACATTTGTACATTCTTTTCAATTAATTTTATATGCATGAATTTTAGTTAGCATACTCTGTTTATGTTGCATCTAAAATTCTATACTATATCTACATTCGGATGTTTCTCTAAAACATAAATGTGTTAGTTTTAATCATTCAAGAGAAAAATTAGTACAATTTTAGAAACTGTACAATGTTCATAACAATACTAAATCTTAACAACCATTTTAGGACCTGTTAAAAGATTCTTTGTACTAATTACATAAAAGTAGTAATCTACCCTAGATGAAGTAAGTACTGACTGATGAGAACCCAAATCCGTGTCAATGCTTTTGAAATATCCCAAAGAATGCTGAATGCTATGGATAATTTTAAATACAACTGATTGTTTGGAAGGGATAATAAAGCATCATGTTTAGGACCTTGCTAAAATAAGGTCCTTAAGTGTGACATCCTCATAATCTGTGTCATATATCAATAGTTGCTATATTTTTGATGTCTATTTTTGACATCCTCATCAATAGTTATTATTATTATTATAACTATTAGGTGCAAGATATATCCTCATTTCTGCTATATGGATGTCAAAATAAGTTATACTAACATATTTTTTTGAAAGGAGTTAAAATATAATCCTAACATAACGAAAAAATAATTGTATATTTATTTTTAAAAATAGCCATATAAGGAGTTATTTTTTTTCCTGACATTGTTTTTAGATGAAAAGTCTATTAAATTTTTACATAAATAAACATATAATATACTCCGTACTAAAATAAAAATTTTAGGGAAATTTGACATAGATTATAATTAATAGTGTTTATTAAATAATTTCCAATGATTTTCATTCTTTAAATATTATATAGAACTAAAATTAATATTTTAAACTCTTCTCATGGAAGTCGTCTAATTAAAAATACAAACCATATTAATCGTGACAAATATTTTGCAATAATTTTTTTATATAATATAGAAAAGTAAATTTTATCTAAATTACCATCTGTTTGAAAAAAAAGAGTTAAATGTTGAAAGAAATTGAAAAAAAGTTAGAAGAAACTCAAAAGAGTTAGAAGTTTGAAAATATTGAAAGGAGTTTTAATGAATATTTTATTAATTAAAATAAGTTATACCTCATGTTTTAAGTTTCATTTCCTTCTATTTTTTTGTTATATATCCTATAATTTTTGTCTTAGACATTATTTAGTACAAAAAAATTTGTGTGACTCACACTTATTATTTCTCTTAATTTTTAGTATCAATATCATTCCTAAAATTTTTCATTTCTTAGTTTTGTGTCCCTAACTCATGTCAAAATAATGCTAAGACGAAGTGAGAAATATTTTTTATTAATGTTTTTAGAGGAATAATTCAATATTTATCAATCAAACAAAAATTATATTAAATTTCACTTTATACACTAAAATAATTACAACTTAAGATGTGGCTCATGAAATGACTCGGGAATTAGCAATATTCATTTATTATCAAAATGGTCAATGTGATACAAGTTAATTACTTTATTTTGATTAAGTAAAAGAATCATTTTAATATGACAATAAAAACAATTAACAAGAAAAAACTCAATCAAAAGTATATAAAAATGCAAAAATGAATAAAAATAATGATCTTTGTGCGTGTTTGAGAGATCTTATATAATGAATCTAGATAAAAAGTGGTATTAGAATTATATATTCATTTTTAGTGATATTGACTCGATTATAATGTTGTATATGTTCTTATTTTTCTCAATCTAATGAAAGGAAAATAAATATTACCTCCGTATCCACTAAGACGTACAATGTGAATGAGTTTCACCTTAAACTTTGGACAATGACTTTCCTACCATCCATGAATTTTGGTTGAGTAATTTATATTTTTCTATTCAATCGGTATCAAAACTCTACTATACATAGAGCTTCAATCTCTATGGTTTGAGACGGGGTATAGTGGAGAGGGGGGTTTCTTTGCTTTGTTCATGAAATCATAGAACTCTAAGAGTGAGTAAGAAAATATACATTCGTCCAAAGCAAATAAAATCATTCTCCTTTTTGAGTTGAAAACATTTGTCCTCAAAACATATTTTTTACCACTTATATAACCAAACATAGGAAATTAAATTAAAATTTCTTAAAATGTACTTTTCTTTTAACCAAACATATCTTATGAGTTTCATTTTCTTGATGAAAAAAATACAGAATAAAAAGAAAAATCGTTCAGTCCCGTGCGTGGCACGGATTAAAATGCTAGTAAAGAAATAAAAACCACTACCAAATAGAGGAATGTTACATGTCGCTAAATGATCAATGTCATATAGGGACTGGGAACGAGTTGTTAGGTTGTTTAAGCACGTCTCATTAGGAGTCAACATAAACCGCTATTTTTTAATTTAAAAATTAGTTTAAATCATATTTAAGATATAACAATATAACACTTTTAATTTGGGATAAGAGCTATGTTTTAATCTTATCAAGATATATTTCTTAATTATCTAATTACCAAAAATTAGTTATCTTAAAAATCAAAGAATAAATCTATTGTGGTGAATAATTGATTAAAATATTAGAATGGCACCAAAAAGAAGAGATTGAGAACATGCAGCATTCCGAATTCGTGCGGATGACGTGTAAAGGAAACTTGTAGGATTCCAAATTATTTAACGAATCTTTTTTAATTTTCTTAGAATTCTTTACACTGTAATACTCCATGTAATAATAATTCCAAATTAGAGAACAGGTAAAATTCTAATCCAATCCTAATTAAAATAATCTTACTTCATTATAAAATTAAACAGATACTTGATGAAATGATGAGTATAAAAACTGCTAAAAACTTTTACTTTCCTAAAACAATATTTATATTTGGAATTATGATCAAAATTATTTTTAATTTAATTTATTTAAAAATTCATATGAATTTACACTATAAATTTCAAAAATAATTCCAAAAAATTATACTTCGAAGTATAAAACAAAAACTGACAAAATTATACTCCCTCCGTCCATAAATAAACTTTACGTTGCGCGTTACGATGCTTGACTGAAGTTATTTTTAAATCATTTTATATAAAAAATGGTGTGAAATTTTAAAATAAAAATCACATATTAAAAAACTATATCAAAAGATCTACAGAACTAGAGGTGACATGACTATATTATTTTATCAAATTGATAACAAAAATAGCCAACAAAGTGAATAAAGTTTGACGTAAAGTTTATTTGTAGACGGAAGGAGTATTATTTTACCAACTAATAAATAACCAATGACAAATATACAAAGTATAAAGAAAGAGAATATGCTTTAATTATACGAATAGTAAATGACAAAAGTAAAAAAAAGAAGGAAAGTATGGAATACAAATTAAAATAAGAATCCCATAAATAAAAAATAAAATAAGAAATATAGAAGCTTTAGAATCCTATTCCTATTAGGACGCCACGAAATCTCAACCGTCCGATAAGGTTCAGACAATCCCCTTAAATTATGATGCCAATGCCATACGTGTAATCCCACTCCCATCTCAATCTCCCCTTCAATTAATTTCTCAGCAAGAAAAAAATTTCTGAAATTCTTTTCAGCGATCATGACGGTGGCGCCGGAAAATTTGAGCCGGGAACAGTGCCTGTACATGGCGAAGCTGGCGGAGCAAGCGGAGCGGTACGAGGAGATGGCGAAGTACATGGACAGGCTCGCGGTCGACTCCGCCAAATCCGGGTCGGAGCTGACGGTGGAGGAGCGCAACCTCCTCTCCGTCGCGTACAAGAACGTGGTCGGCTCGCTCCGGGCGGCGTGGCGCATAGTGTCGTCGATCGAGCAGAAGGAGGAGAGCCGCCGGAACGACGACCACGTGGCACTCGTCAGGGGTTACAGATCCAGGGCGATTGAGTCGGAATTGTCCGCCGTTTGCGCCCAGATTCTCGGGATTCTCGACCAGCATCTCATTCCGGCCACCGCGGACTCATCGGAGGCGAGAATCTTCTATATGAAGATGAGGGGAGATTACCACCGTTACTTGTCGGAGTTTAAGGTTGGGGACGAGAAGAAACAAGCCGCCGAGGAAACTATGGCTGCTTATAAAGCTGCACAGGTCTGTAAATTTTTTTTACTGCCCTTTTTTCCCTTGAATTCATTAGCATTAATTTAATTATTACTATTATGAAATTAATCTTTTTTAAAAAAATATTGAAAATTGAAGACTGTGGGCAGAGTTGAATGTTGTGGACTTTGTTTGACTTGAAGAATCTTTGAAGGAGAATTGACTGTCCCCTTTTTTCTTTCTTTCTGTGGGCAGGGTAAAGTTTGATCCTTTTTGACCAGAATGGTCAAAATTGAGAATTTTGTGTGCATTAAGAATTTCTATATAAAAATCCAATTGCAAATTCTTTAACTACACTTTGATTGTGTAGTGTAATTTTAATCCATTCATTATTTTCTTCCTACAAAAATCAGTTCATTAGAAGTAGGGTTACAAAAAAAATTAGGGCTCATTCAAAGTATGAAGCCTAACAACTTTTTAATTAAAAACAGTTCGGGTTGGATAATTATTTTTGAGGAGGTAAATCAGACTTTAATTACAAGAGATCAGCACATAAACTCTTAGGTCCAATTCGCGCCCCGTTTATATTTTGCACACATAATTGTAGTGGGCTAAAAGAATTAACCCTTATTTAGTTATTTTCTTGCAAAACATTCTTGAAAAAGTGTGTATTAATTGTATGTAGCAAAATATTTTCTTTGTTGGAAAATTGTGTTTTAAAGAATTGACCTTATGGTTGA